CCAAATTAAAGATAAAATAGTATACATAATAACATAGTTATTCTTTAATATAGTATTACATGTTTAAAAGTAATAAAAAAGTTAACCATGAATCTTATTACCAGGTATTACTTTACAAAACACTATTGAAAATGCAGCATCGTTGATTTGCTATTGGTTACGTTGTTGGTTTGCTATATCTCTGAAAAACAAAATGTTACTCAAAATAAAATAGTTGTATCTGAATTACTTACAAATCAATTAAGGTCTATTTTCTTCACTAGCCATTAGCCAGTATACTATTAGGATGCCAATTAAAATTTTACATAGGTAACTTCTATTGATATTTAGATTTTGCAATAATATGACAACACCATCCTACAAGAAAAAAAAAACTGAAATACAAATTCTTATTGTATTACCATTGATTTGATTATAATTACTCGTTTCTGTGCTACTTTGATGTTTGTCCTTTTGGTTGAACTCTGGCTTTTAGGTCTGAAAAAAAAACGAGAAATGTTTATCATATTTTTAATTCCTTACTTCTTATCATTATTGCTTAATAGCAATTAGGAGGCAGTTGTAACCTGTAGACAGTGAGCTGCTGCCGTGCATATGGAATGTTAGCTATAAAATTGTTGAAAGGAAGCGATTAATAAAGTAATCTAAACAATGTTAAGTTGAATTAATAAAAAGATTTTTAATACAGTGAATAATAAATCATATAATAATACAATGCACTCAGAAACGTATATCGTCAACTGGTCGCATACCTTGACTGCCATAAGAACTGTATTATAATCCTATAGCTAATATTTCTAACTGCCGTATACACACAATATTGAAAATATGTCAACTCTGCATTTTCGCTTTCCTTATACATGTATAACTATTTGGCTAATCTAAAGTGTGACAATACTACTTATTGTATACAATCTACAGGGTGAAAACTAAATTATAATTTAATATTTCAACAAAAATCATTGTAACAATTAAACCTATTAACAGTGTACTCGACCAATATACCTACTTACTATTATAATATGTTATATCATGATATTGTAATCGTATCATACAAATTTAAAATTATAAAATGTGAGCAAGGCCGGATTAAGGGGGGGTCTAGCGGGGGGCGGAAGCCCCGGGGCCCTTTCAAGTACCAAAATGAAAGGGGCCCAAACAATTTTAAGCTGATACACATTTTTCAGTGATTTTAAAGAATAGTTTTTTTATATTTTAAAAACCATTTTTTTAAACAAAAACAACTAAGGGCCCTAAATAGTAAATACCTATTTGTAGGAAAGGCGCATTTTACTGTTATTTAATAACTGTTAGGTAGTTAATATTTGTTGTAAATAAGTATAATGTTAATAAATTTAAAAGTTGGTATGAAAATTTGAATTTAAATTAATGAAATATGAAGTATTAACTCTGTGGAATGATGGCAGAAGCTGATATATACATTTTGTTAATTTTTCAATTATATCATTTAAATAGTTTAGAAATCGTATATTTCAAGTAGTGGAAAACATTTTTCTTCTATCATACTTAATATGATATGTCTCTATTATGTGTGTGGTTGCCATTTATATTCAAAGACCAAAACTGATAAGTCATTAGGTATTTGAAAATATATGTAGCGGCAAAACTAAATTTGTAAAATATCAGCTTCTGCCGTCTTTACTTTTATTATATTACAATTAGTGAATAGTGGTTGTATACTTTATAGACATATAAATTACATATACTTACCTATTCATTTTATAATTTTATAATTTTATAATGCAATTGCCATTTGTGAAATAGTTAGAAAAATGTATCTTCCTGTGGGCGTAGCCAGTTTGTTTTAACGCGTGCCTTGTCAAAAGGGCCCATATGAAATTTCAACCCTGGGGCCCAATAGGTTCTTAATCCGGCCTTGAATGTGAGAGTATATTATATTAGATATGCTAGTACAGTGGCGTAGCCAGGAGGGTGGCTAAGGGGGCTATACCCCCCCCTCTGACCGTGTTGACCTTAGAATTTTATGAAGATTAATAAAAAAATAAAAAGTGTAAATAAAAAACATATTGTATTTGTATACTTAGCTCTCCCCCATACAAAATGCATGGCTACGCCACTGTGCTAGTACGCCTATACAGGTATTTAATTAAAAATAATACATTAATACGTAATAAAATAATTACGTATAATATAATATGATTATATTAAGGGCCAGTGCCCAGTAAGTTCCGTAATTAATAACTAGGTTATAACTTTATAATTGATAAATTACAATAAATATTCATTTTAAATTATATGTAGGTAGGTACTAGGTACTAGCTTAATAAACTTAAATCATCGGTCAATTGAAACATTTTTTTTTTTGCATCACAGGCTGTCGAAACAATATAATAACAATAATAATACCTACGTTTCAGAGTAATAAACTATATTACCTATATTACTTATGCACTCAGAAACATTTATATAACTTTTATTTTAATTTGATGGAAACGAAAATTGTCAGTCATTGATTTGTCATTGATTCTATAATATGATTGCATTATAATATGAATATTTAAGAAGTAGGTACTTATATAGTATTACAGTCGTTGAGTCGTCAGTTCAAGTAGTTAGTGCATATTTCCGGAATCATACATTATTGTCAAACATATTATAAGCAATAAGGTAGTTATAGGTAATATGAGTAATATATATTTTGTACCTACTAATATATAGTTGTAACACTCCATCGGCTATCACTTACAAGCATAATAATATATTAATATACCTACTCGTATACAATAGTTTAATCCTAGTTACAATTTTAAACTGTTTTCCTATGCCAGATTATCAAAAAAAAAAATGTTTGAATCTATACGGTACAAAACGCTTCTATAGAGTTGCACCTGCCTAAGTCTAAGTGGTCCGTTTGCGACTGATTCCGACTTCTCGGCGCTGCTGATATACTACCTACCATTTTGTGACTTGAAAATTGTTCTAAAACATGGTATGAAAGAAAACATTACCGACAAATAATGACGAGTGATGACAATATATAATAATATTATTGTGGCCATGTCTGAGACTTTATGTTATATACCTGGCAAATGTATTACACTTTCACTCGGTACTCGATAAAGGTCGAACCACTTATTGTGCTGTTATATCTATAATTATATTATTGTACAACTGTCAAAACACTCATATTGTCGAAAAGTGATTTCTAAGTACAGTAATAGATACCTGTTACAAGATTTGTTCAGATTAGAATATTACAACTCAAGTCAATATTTTATTATGTTGTAAAAATTGACTTATACACTCGACAATACGAAAAAAGCAACAATAGTTTTTTGTGTTCACACATTTTTTTTTTTTATTTATCGAACAAAAACAATATGACATTTTTAATTTTGAATATAATTTCAAAAACGGAAACAATTTTGGAAACGTTTGCCGTTATATTATACAATTTTGTATGTTCAAAAAAAAGTTAGAACAAAAAAGAAAAAGCCGAAATTTATAAAGTCAATATTATTCGATATAAGTAAAGAAAATTTAAATGGAAAAAAAAATACGACGGACAGGAGACACAATAAACTAGGAGGGGAGGATACGGGATGGCGATTTGGTGCGGATTTGCAATGATGTGGCCACTGGTCACCTCTGCACGTCCCCACGACCGGTCCACCAGGTTGACGAGTGTCACGGGCGCGTTTGCTCGGACGCGTGACGACCTTGCCCAGCTGGCGAGGCCAGACCGAGACGGCCACGGGAGCGACTACGGTTGACGGCGACGAGCGGCGGCTATAGTGCGCGATGTCGTGCGCGTCGACGGTTGTGGACGGTGACGACTCTGCGACGGACGGCGAAGACCAATAGACACGCGGAGAGAGTGAACAGAGATTTTGTGCTGCGGAACAGTTTGCGACGCGGCCGATGTGGGATTGCAGCGGGACGAAAAGGCGAGAGTCGTCGGATCCTCGACTCCCGGTAATTTTCGTCCTGGCGTCGTCCCTTCAGCCGCGTCTTCGTCCAATGACCGCCGCCGGACCAGTTAACTAACCAAACTGGTCTGAGTTCCCTCGGGTCCGGCGCCGCTCACGTCCGTGTTCCTAACACATAATCTCTACACCACTGACTCACCCCGTGCCAAAGTCTCCGCTGTTGCCGTCGAATTGAGTCGCCATCGCCATCGCCGTCATCGTTGGTACCGTCGGGGCGGAATCGTTGCCCGCGTCCGTACCTATGCTATAGCCGCCGCGTCGTCGTCGTTGCCGTCCGTCGCTCCGCGTGACCGTAACTGCAGCCGGGCGCTCGCCGAGCCGCCAGAGGGTCTCGCGCGTCAACTACGGCCGAGCGCGCTACGCCCGCCAACCCGTCTCGCTGGTGGTGGTCGGAGAACGTGCGCGGGTGACTTACCGCCGCGCACCTTCCGTGCTCTTTCCCGCATCCTCCCCTACTTTGCGTCGCCGTCTCCTGTCCGTCGTCTTCGGCCCACGTGGGCTGTGCTAATAGTAATAGCTACGGGCGGTTTTACAGCCGCAGCAGAACAACACGCGAAAAACGCGTTTCACACTTTTCCACGTCGACTTTCTACGTGGAGAAACGGGTTTTTCGACTTCTATTGCAGGACTCTCCTTGCCGATTAGCTCACTGTCCATCACAGCTATTTCCTTGGCCGGTTGCTCAATGTCTGCACATAATTCGTCTTCTGCAGCTGCAGGAATCACTACGTCGTCGTGAGGTCCGCCCTCGGAAGTCGGACTTGGGTCGACAGTCCCCGACTCCGAGGACGGTACGTCGCCTCCCGACTGCGATTCCTCCTGAACTGCTGATGATTTTGTCAACCCGTCGTTCTCTTGGACAGTATAGCCGAGTGGTGCTGTCTCGGGGGTCTGAGCTGCAGGCTCAGACTCTGACAGAGACAGCGCATCGCCACTCGGCAATTCACTGTCCAAGAAAATTGACTCATCAAAATGTTGTTCGTTCTCGTCGCGGTCCGGAATCGAAGGGGTTTCTTCTGGCTCTGGGGACTGCACGTCACCACTAGAAGTCGCTTCCATACTAATGGAAGATAGAGGATCTGTTACTAATTGTATGAGGCTTTCGTCGTCGCTCTCATGAAAATAAACGCCCTCCATTACACCGATTACAATGCTGCGTATAAATTCGACTAATGCTGTCTGTACCTCGTTGCTTTCGTTGTTGACAGCCATTTTTTATTTGCAAGTAGATAGGTATATGTGTCAGTGGGAATTGAGAATTGCTAGTGAGCTAAATACAAGTCTCCCAACACGGAGATCGATCAATTCTAAAATCTCCAAGGCGACGATTTGTATCTATATATTGTTATATATAGCCAGATAGTACGTTCATCGTTCATCGGCTCACAGCATTACCTTTTCGAGCCCGTTAATTTTTCTAAAGACTATTATTATTATTATCATTATTATTGATATAGTATAGGTAGGTAGGTACCTAATATTCTGGTATTACGATTTGTATTACTCTGTGACTCGATGTATACTAAAAATGCTTAGCCGCCCAGAATCTTAAAGTTAATTTGTTTGTTAAGTTAAATAATATATAACTGATAATATTACATTTGTGTCACCTTTTTGACTTAATCCTAATTGAATATTTTACACTTTTTGTGTGTTATTCATGACATTTTGATATTATCTTCAAGGCCGCAGTTGGAACAAATTTTCGTGAGGGGTTTAAAACTAAATTATATATTTTCATGATATAAAAACCAACTAAAAAAAGGAATTTATATATTATAATAATTATATAAATGTTTTTTATAGATAACCTACCTACATGTGTGATAAAATGTGTATTTTAAATTAAATATTTTTATAGTATAAAGTCTAATAGTTTTTTTGCGAAACAATCGTCATCTAGATTAATTTAAATTTGTCCATGTAAACATTGTAAACTACTATACACTCAAAAGACCTATACGTGTAAAGCCCTGTCACAGTATCACACACGCACCCGATCCGTCAGAGCATCCGTGTACTAGGAAATACGAACTTATAATAACTTATACTAACCTATCTAGTTTAATCCTATTATCCTAATAATATATATAAATGTATTTATTAATTACCTATCCCAAAATTAAGAATCAAGAAACTTGAAAGTGCACAATATACTTGCTCCCCAACTTGGGAAGCATTTTTACTTTTTTATCTGAAATATAATTTTGACATTATTTTATCCACAAAATAAAACACTACATTTTGGTAAACCCAAAGTTGATATCTTTCTAATATATATGTAATATGTCCAGCATTCTCCACATTTTCATTTTAGTTGTCTTAGACTCTTAGATCATAATATTGGTACCTACGTATCGAAGAGTTGCCCATTGTCCATAAAGTTGCCTATTTTTGACGCCGTGTTTTCATAGTTTTACGATTGCGTTATAAAAATTAATTTCACGGAATTACAAAATAAAATGTTGTAATTTTCTAATCTGCATACCTGTAAGTTGTCACAAATTAGCCTAATAATTTATTTATTATAATATACTGTTAATTTTTGATGATTTTAAATAGTAATCACTAATCAGTACCATATTACCTATTATGTCTGTATTCTACTACTCTGTACCTATAAAAAAATATATTATTTGCCACTGCTTTATCATGCTTATTATCATTAGGCCTTGTTATCAGTCGTCGCAGCCCACATTCCACAACCAGTGGGATTTAAATATTTGATTATTGTCAGTTTGTGGCGTCTGCACGTCTTGACCATGTCTTGTATGCTAATAATTGGGCTTTAAGTTCTAACCACAGATTTTGATGCAAATTAATCTCAAATCACAATTCACAATAATTGCAAAAATGAATTCGCTAGTCGCATCATTAAAGGTACAATAAAAGCATTTTCTTACTATACTAGTTGTATATTATTATAATTTACATTTTATATTTTCATAGGCCGATGAAGCAGTTAACTGGTTTCAGAAACGTTTGAACTATGCTGTTAATTATGGACTTTCTTCTGAAGAATGCAATATGTTTGGTAAAAATTAACTATTATAATAATATAACGACCTAATGGTTTATAGTTAACGTATGTCAAACTATCTCGGTGTCTTCAATATAATAATGCTCAATTTCAAATATTTTGGAAAGAAAATAATAATAGATAGATAGAAAGTAATAATAGTTAGATCACAAAGATTATAATTGTTGTCTAAACCAATTTAGATACAGTTATTAAAGTTGTATGTGATGATAATTTAGGTTATATACTTTTTGCAGACATTTTTATTACATCAACTTTGGCTGAAGTTGACATAAAAAAGCAGATAATCAATATAGTACTTCCAAAATTCTTTGATAACTTAATATCAAGGAAAGTCAATAAATCGGTAAGAATTCTAAATTATTTATGTTATTACTTATTAAAATCGCTAGTATTGACTTATATTTTATTTAAATATTAATTCCTATACCTTAAATGGACCTGCTTTTGATTTCTTGTAATATTTAATTGTAGAATAACACATATCAATGATTATACTATAATCTTTGTATAGACTATAGATGCACAAGCAACTCTAATAAGATTGTTTCTCAAATAATATGGAGGAACATGCATTCAGTTCAAGGTATCATTTTATTTATCCATTTGTTTTTGATAACTTAACTAGTTTACTTAATGTATTCATAAATATAATATGTTGTTATAGAATGCATTGGATACATTTACAACTAAAACACTAAGCGAGTGTTTTAACAAAGATAATATTGTTTTCAAAGTGACAAAATATCTTGCTTTATATCTTCAATGTGGTGGTCGTGAGCAACAGTGTATTCATCATGTTGAAGCTTGGACTTGTCAATTTAATGATTATTTATACTCTGCCAATTATTTTTTGAACCAATTTTATACTAATGTTAATGTAAGAAACATTTAATTGATTAATTTGAATAATGTATATACGTCTTGTAACTCAATTCCTTGTTGGTAATTAGTTCTTCTGTGGAACGGACGTGACTGATAATTATGAAGGAAAATTTAATGTGTCAATTTTAAATTATCTGAACTTACACAAATGACTCCTAAAGAACGTTATGAAAAGTTGACATCATTATTTATATTTATCAATATAGCAATTCAATCAATGTTATTGACTATTGTAAGAATACATCTCAGGGTATTCATGCACATTTATATAGTTATAAATTATAATTTATAATACAGATTAAAGTGTAATAATATTTATAGGTCCATGTTTTCTACTGTCAAACATTTTGATTCCAACAAAGTTATTCAATTTGCTCTTTGTACTTTATCTGTAACTTCGGAAAAACTTAACGCTACAATGGTTACTGAAGATGTCATTGCATTGGATTCTGTTTAATGGAAATTACACTCTTCTGCCACCAAAACAATTTCAGCTCTTATTAAATGGTATACATTATTTACGTTATGTTTAAAAATATTTTTTTTCTTGTAGATTCGTTGCTCTTAAACTTTATTGCATTGTTTTTAAAATATTGCAAAAATAGTAAATTATGACATTCATTTTACAGTTGTGGAAGGATTTTAATACCTCATTGAACATTAATTTGTCGTATTTTAATACAATCCAGAATCCTTAAACATGACACATTTTAATTCATCAAATGCTCAATATGGTACCACAAGATCTAAATTGTAAGTTTTATTTTTATATATCTTATTAGTAGTAATGTTGTAATTACTGACAATTTTTTATTTAATTTGTATTAAGGCAACAGCGTGTGTTAACATATCAAGTTCTATGCTCGTGGCTAGCTGTAGCTGGGTCACAGAGTTCACTCGAACTGTTCAGTGAAAGCCTTACTTCTGGGATTTTATTTGATATCAAATTTGATAAACCATCTCTAAATTTGGTTGTAAGTTTGTTAAATAAATGGTTATTTAATATTTATTAATACTATTAAAATATTGTGTTTAATACTAAATATTTCATTGAATTTCGACAAACAAACAGGAAACAAAAAAAGAAACAGTGGTGCTCTAAAGTCTAAATCAAAGGATTATTAATCAACGGGATACAATTGTTATGCATGATTATCTTGCGAATAAAACTGTGTGTAATGAAGCTCATAAAACACTTCAATTATTTTTAAACACTTTGTCTTCAAATTTGAAAGTTCTACAATTCAAAGTATGTTAAATATTTATTTTTAAATAATTATTTTATAAAAATGTTAACATAAATTTTTTAGATTTTTCAAAGTACAATCATGGGTTTGGTATTAGAAATTATTAAATGTCAACAACCAAATGATTATCCTCTACCGTACTATGACAATTTATGTCGTCTTAACTTGTACAAATCATTATTAGCTTTGATTATATCACCACATCCACACATATTACACATCCATCTGTAGCATTACATGTTTTTACTTTTGGTACAACTGATCGTAATGAAAAAGTAAGTTACCATTAGAAACTTTTAAAATGTTTTTTTTGTTGATATCAGTGATATAATGATATCTTATATTTATGTATCATGTATAACTAAACATTTTTTAATTGCTTTAAATGTTTCTTATTGTATTGTTATTCAGGTAAAAGAATTTTGTAGATCATCATTAAGCGAGCTTGAACATATTATCCGTCCACGTAATGATACACTATTTTTCCCTCTTGAAATTGAAATAGAAATTCCACCATCCTCTCAAAGCATTATACCCGAAAACAAAATTTATTTTTTAAATGAAAAAGTTGAAGATTCAACTGTACCCATTCAAGTAAAAGAATTCAAAAATGTTCTACCTAATACAATTCCACCATCTACTCAAAGTAATATATCAGAGAACAAAACTGAAATAATAAATGAAATAGTGGAAGACTCAACTATACCCATTAAAGCAAAAGAAGTTAAAATTATTAATACTGAGAATGTCCAGCCAAATACAATCCACAATCTTTTGAAACACTATCACAGAAAACAAAACTAATATTTTCAATAAAATTGTCAAAGATTTAACTTTACCCATTGAAGTAAAGGCATTAAATAATGTTAATACCGAAAATGTTCAGCCAAATACTGTAATAGAATCAATGGATGCTGGATAACAGTATGGATTCAAGCTCAGTTGACGAATCATTAATTATAAGAGATTTGGAGTATGAAGATCATACATAAGCTGATTTTCTGAAAGACTTTATAGACAGTGATTAAGAATGTAAACATAACATTTATGAGACTCAAAATACATTTTTTTAAAAACACGTTATAAATCAGTACATTTATTTTATAAAAATGTTGAGGCCTTAAATAAAATATAAATTAACTCATGTATACTACTTAGTTAGGTACTTTTTGGGGGCAGCACATTTTTTGAGACCTTTTATTTTAACATATTTACAATGATTTAAGCAGTTAGTCAACTAGCGATATCAACAAAACGTTCAATTAATATTTAAATATAAACAAAGCTATTCTGTGCAATCAATCTCCAGATCTGATAATACGCTTGCGTATTAGTTTGTCGTCGAATAGGTACCTGAACCTATTGTTCTGGGCCTAAACTATACATTTCTTGTGGGCTAAGAATTTAGTTTACTAACTTGGTAACCTCGTACTGTCAGTGCAGAGGGTTCATATCAAAAATGGTATATTGTACAGGAAAACGTTTTTAATATTTAATAGCATACAGACTACACTAATTTTGCAAGTTATCTTTAACCTCATAATAAGTAGGTATGAAAATAGTATTCAAACATTTTTGAAGTTTGGTTATGTACTTTTAAAAACTTAAACTTACCACAATACTTTTTATAAAAACAATAAATATTTTAAGATGTGGACTATTATTGCATTGATAATTGTATTAACTAGGTACCTAACTATTAAGTGTTTATATTAATTATTAACATACTTTTCCAATAATAAATAATTAGGTACTGCTAACAATAATATTATTATTATTGTATTTCATACATAAATACATAATATAAGATTCTGAGTGCTCCGATCTGATGATTATGTAATACACTTTATCAGCTTATAAGTATTACGATTATTATTAGTTAATAAGTTAAAAAATAATAGGTAATATATTTCTATATTATATAAGAGCACTGAGCCGACAGCAGTTTACAGCTGTTGTTTTAATTTAGAAAAACGTAAGCCAAATCACACTATATTATTATATGTATAGATCATAGATCTTGAGAATTGAGACGACAATAAACCAACCAATTTAAATAATATAAAAACTATCCGAGCGATGACCGCTGATAATACCTAGTTGATTGACGATTATGTATAATAAATAATAATTAATAATATTATGTTACCCATAAGAATTAATACGAATTGTGATATTAATCATCGCCATCCATCGCTTAACTACGAAATAACGTTGTTTATAATAAATTATATTCATATAAGTAGGTAGGTACCATATTCTTTTCGATTCTGGCCACAACATTGGGTACCTAGGTAACTCGTAGCAATGAAGCGATAAACACTACACAGTACACAATACAGAACATAATTAAAACCAATATACAAGTGAATATAATTTCGTTTAGTATTTTTCGGACGGACAAATGCAACATTTTCAAAATTGATTGTATATGACAGTGAAAACTGGAATGAGACAATAATTGAATATCGAGTCTACATATTATTGTGCCCGAGCAGAATTGTGACAGGATTCTCACTTTTTTACACAAAATTCACACCATCATTTAATAATTACGACTTTAAGTTTTCAATTTAAGATTTTTGCAGGTTAATGTTTGTTCTTTACCGGACAGGACCACATTATTTTTCTAAGCGAAACTATGTACCCGGGTCTTCACGTCAACGCACCATACTTGATACTTATTACTTATGCACTAATGTCTAATTGTGAGGACGTCAGGTCGTATAGTTTATTTAGTACCTACCGCCCGAGCGAAGTTTTGCTAGGACTTCCTGCACATTTGTATAAAATATATCTATAAATATATTATTATTATATATTTTAATATGTAGGTATACAGGATACCCAATAAAGACATTGCCAAATGTTATACTATTATAATGGAGATGTATTATTATAATTTAAGAACAACTTGACTTGAAGATTTAAATTTCAAATATTTGGTCAGTTGGTCGATGTTTGCTCTTTACTGCGCACGCCCTGCGCTTACTTTTTATAGGTTCAACAGTGCAAATGTTTGTATCAACGCATCATATTTATTATTTAATACTTACTCGCTATTTGTCAGGTCGTATAATATAGTTTGTTTAGTACCTTCTAAGCACAGTTTTAAGATTTTCTACGAGGACTTCACTTAAATAAATATATTATATTATGTACAGGATGTCCATAGAGACATGGCCAAACGTTATACAAATAGAATGAAGAATGAAGATGTGTGTATATTATGATAGTTTAAGAATAACAGGAATTGAAGATTTAAATTTTAAATATTTGGTCGATGATCGATGTTAAAATTGCTCTTTACTGGACATACTTATTTTTTATAGGTTCAACAATTCAAGTGGGTGTACTATTTATCAGGTCGTATAGTTCAGTCAGTCCCTGGTCCTGAGAGCAGTTTTGTTAGGACTCCCACTTATATATATTACTAGCTGATCCCGTGCACTTCGTCGCCCGTTAAATGGATCAACTCAATACTACCTACTCAAACTTTGTTCAATTCATTAACGTGTATGGTGTTCCCGTTGCCCTGAATAAAAATTCTGAATCGCAGCAGTACATTACCAGGTAGGCAATCTACCTGCGGTAGATCGCGGACCCCGTGCTGTTTGTACGGAAGTGTATGATTTAACTCTAAAATATCAAAGTTATACCAAGTTTATTTTGATGTAATACTGTGGATTAATATAATAAATTTGGTTGCTCGTAAAAAATCGCAACTCTTAAAAAAATTATGATTGTTGAACTCCTTTTGGGTGTAATTCTCTGCAGTAAGTGCAACTCTGCCACCCTGGTAAGCATTGTTCAATAATTCGATTTGATGCAAGCTTGTACCTGATCTGCCCGAATAACCAATGGCAACCAATAAATAAATGCTAATTTCTAATGTAGACTGTAAC